GCCAATCAAAAAGATTTTTCAGCTCTTCAATATTTTGCGGAATATCTTCGTTACGAATTATTGCCGTTTTCGCTGTGTACTCCGAATACCAACGTGGAGTTTTCCTATTCCTCTTGCTACGTCTTAATGGCTGCTTGTCTTCATCATCGTCTCTTTCATCGACTTGACTTTCATAAGTACTTTCATAATCAGTTTCACCAACTGATTCTTCTGCTGAAACGTTATCTTCTTGATTTTCTTCAATCAGCGTACTGTCTTCATTCCTCTGCTCTTCGTCAGAAGTTGATACCTGATCTTCAATATCTTGTCTTTGATCTTCATAGTTCTCTTTTCTATGCAATTGTGTACAAAAAAACAAATCCTGTTGTTCTGATTCGATTTCATGAGAGAGTATCGTGGATTCATCGAATACAACGTTTCTACCTATTTCAATTGAACGTGTATCTGCATTCCACAATCTAAATCCATTGTTTGCGTAGCCCACAAAAATCAATAGTTTAGTTTTCGGATCTAGTTTATGACGTTTTTCCTTGGCGATTTGCTTGAAAGCTCTGCATCCGAAAATTCTCAAATGCTTCAAGTTTGGCTTCTTTTTAAACCACATTTCATATGGAGTTTTGTTTTCTTCTATCCCATTCATAGGAGATCTGTTGATTAGGTATGTTGCTGTATATAATGCTTCACCCCACATTGCTTTAGGCAATTGACTATCGTAAAGCATTGCTCTTACCTTTTCCATCAACGATCTATTCATTCGTTCACTTACTCCATTTTGCTGTGGAGTGTATGGGACTGTGAACATCATTTGAATTCCGATTTTCTTACAATGATTTTGGAATTCAGTACTTGTGTATTCTCCGCCATTATCACATCTAAGCATAGAAATACGTGCTTGAAAATATGAAGATGCCATAGCTTCAAACTCATTGAATCGTTCGAAGACTTCAGATTTGTGTTTCATGAGGTAGACCACGAGAAAATGAGTATAGTCATCAATGAAGGTTACAAAGTAGCGGTAACCATCATACGTTTCCTCTTCCATACTTCCACAAACATCTGAGTGAATTAACTCCAATGGTCGTTTTGATCTTGGCAATTTCATATCCTGAAATTTGAAAGCGGATTGCTTTCCTGCCAGACAGCCCTCACAAATACTTGTTTGATTCCGTTCTCCATATGATAGATTGATACCCTCAACCATCCCTTTTGACATTAGTTTCTCCAAACCTGTAGCACTCAGGTGTCCCAGTCTCTTATGCCAAGTAGTAAGACTCACCTGTTTTCCAATCAGTGCAGAACAGGTTGCATTTTCTGAGGACTTTCCATCCCAAATACAATCAAGGTAGAACAAACCATCAATGAAACTTCCTGAAGCAATGACTTCATCTTCAGACTCAAAGGTAACCTCTTTATTCGTAAAGTGACCCTTTTCCCATGCTGGCTTGCCTTTCTAACCGAAAGAAGATTTTCTTCAAGTCCAGGAATGAAAAGAACATTGTTCAATTCAAGACTCTTTATTGAATTTTTGCCAACAACGCTCTTCAATCTCAACTTACCCATCTTCGTTGCCCGAAGATTTTCACCTGTCTTGGCGGTTGAGACAATCACTGGCTCCTCCAAATCCTTTACTTCGTCCAACAAGTCTTCGTCGTTGATCATGTGATCGCTGGCACCTGAATCAACAACGAATTTCACGCGTTTGGCACGATTACGCGGGGCATTCGGCTTCACCATCATGGCATGGCCTTTTTTATTGTCCTTTTTCCCATTGGATTGTTGACCACGCATCCATTTTTCCTTCTCCTTGGCGATGAATTTCTTCATTAAAGGGCATTTGTTTTTATAATGCCCAGTTTCGTTGCATCCGAAACATCGTATAACCTGCTTCGATGCCAGAGTGACGTTTTTCTTCTCCTCTTTCTTCTCTTCCCCAGCTTCGGCGTTCAAGAACATTCTTTTTATATCTACTGTCATCATTCGGAAGCACCAGCAAAGCTCCTTTTACATGTTTGAACCTGTCCGGTATTGCAATCAGGAGAGCATGGATTTTCTCGGCTTGAGAAATTCTAAAAATATCTTCCGAAGTGAGTCTAAGTTACGGTGCTTCATCGAGAATAATCTTTCCCGCATACTGACCATAGCCGCGGTACCCGCCTTCTGGTACGTTTTGACCAATACATCCATGGCTTGTTTCGCATATTCCACGCCAATGATTTTATTCAGGACATCATTGTTTACAAGCATGACTATTTCATCGAGTGCCTCGATGTCATCATCCAGCCGTTTCTTCAGCTTCTCCTTTCGTGCTTTTTTCACCTCCGCAGTAGCCCCTTCAGCCGGCTCGAAATAGTCTTCCTCGTCAGGAGTTTTCACCAGCGTGTTCGATAACTTCAACTTTGCTAGGTGATGCTCCACACGCCATTTCCAAGCGGGAAACAAGGACTCAGTACCGTCGAAAATATTGGCACGATCCGCGCCTCGGACAACTGCTGTGTATGGCAAGGCACGTTCGAGAGTTCCCCTCTCGTAACCGCCATTGCCACCACTTCCTTGTCCGCCGGGGGCAATCCTTCCGCAAATCACACGGTCGTCTGCTGGATCGGCTAGTCGAACGGTCGTCTTCTGGCTCGGCTGGTCGAACGGTCCTCTTCTAGCTCGGCAGGTATAACGATCCTCCTCTGCGCTCAGCTGGTCCAACGGTCGTCTTCTGGGTCGTCCGGCTCGTCTGTTGGCGATCAGTTAACCACTGATTCGTGTCGCTACCAGTTACCTACTGGATGTTGTCGTTGTCGCACTCAGTTTACCACTGGGCCCATAACCTTGTTGGGATTCGAGAATTGCAATAAACACTTCGAGATTACTTTTGGTTTTAAGGTTGATTTTATTGAAACTCAATACGTCAGGTTATCTTACGAAGACATGGTACAATATCGATAGTTCATTATTTACATAGTTCATTTCTGCTTCACATTCTCACACTCCCTATCTCCCTATTGCCTATATATGAGATAGCACACATTCAAATACTACTAGCAAGTTTGTATGCAAGAGGCAAAGCTTCTAGCTGAGCACTAAAGCTTCTCCATTCAATATTGCATACAATACCATATGCGAATAACAGTTACGACTCGCATCTCTCATGTTTACACTGACAATTGTCATCCGATGTGTCAGTACCGATCTATCAGTTGAATGGTAAATTGTTATTGTTTACTCCACAAGACGATGGTGATAATATCACCGCAGTTTGTTTCTCAACACGCTCAAGTACCAACTGTGTGTTTGAAACAGTTCTACCGATTTTTACCGCACTTCAGTTATTATTTGAAGGAAGGCATCCAGTAGCATCTTCAACTATGTAAATCGTTGACTTCACGTAGAAGTAATACTAAAAACATATAGTCAAAGTACATAACTCTGGATGGGAGCATACCATCAATTACTGTCAATGGTCGAAAGGTACAGTAGCAGCACCTACCCCACCCGTGTCCCCTCGAGATCGTCAAGTCGACAATGACAGGAGCACTTATCGTGGTAGGGGTAAACAATAGTTGCAATTTCCAAACCTACGACTGGATGTCTTCCCTAATAAAAAATAACCATAAACGAACGATAACCCAAATCATTGAACTATTCCACAAATGGTTTGGATGATACCCAGAACACGTCGTTAAGCAAATTAACCATACAATTTTTATTAGGGTTCCTTCAAATAACAACTGAAGTGCGGTAAAAATCGGTAGAACTGTTTCAAACACACAGTGGGGGGGGGGGGGGGGGGGACACCCCTCACCACTCCTCTCCAAAGGGGGAGTTTGGTAAAGAGAGATGAAAAAACCGATTTGTACCTTCCTTAAAAGTTGTTCTAGCTCGCTATTCTAAAGTGAACCCTACACGATTGCTTTTATTGACAATAATCGTATTGTCAATACATGCTATATTGACGTCAATATATCGAGATTGACAATATTTCTGAATTCACATCATCAATATTATTGTCAATAATTCCCCTTCCCGTCAATATATTGATGCGTGTGGGGTTTGCTTAATACCTATATGCAATCTTCACACTACCGTACTCTAACGGAACTATCAACTCTCTGCTTTCATCTACTCCATCTATCGTATAAAAATTACCACTACAGTCTGTTATTTGAAATTAGCATCTTCAACTATAATTTTTAACCATTTTCGGAAAGCTCAGGTGATTCGCGTTTATGCGGGTTTTTGGGTTCCTGCACGATAGTACCGAGATGAGTGAAAAGAACTTACTTTTGGGTACCTTTTTATTACCGAGTACGTCGTTCAGGATAACAGCGAGATAAAGACTGAGCTTAAAAAAAATTAAATATTGAACACTACTGCACTACTTATAAGTGCTATGGGTCATATAGGACCTAATGCATTGTTCAGCTTGACTTGCTTTGCTTCTCGAAACCACCACCCCTTGGGCAAGCGCTTGAGTCGTCAAGGAGCATACATTTGACGCAACATAAAAATAGCTCAAACTCCCCCTTCGAATTTATTTTTCAACGACCGCGAACCGTTATCGCAGCATAGCTGTCAGTCACAACCGACCGAGACTCCAACGATTCGAGCAATTCCCGTTTGAGTGTGTGGTTGTGAAATTTCACCGTTTGATTTGCCGGCCGCTTTTTGAACACACTTTCAAACTGTCGTATTCGTATGCAATCTCCCACATCGCATCGCATCTCGAACCGAACCAAACCAAACGTAAGCGTGCATTCGTAAAAGTTCGACGTGTTTTGCCTTCATTTCGCGGTGGTGTGAGCACTGATGCTGTTTTCATTGTTATTCCTCACACGGGTTCCAGCCCGGTCGCGACTCGCCGTGTGTACATAACAAACCCGCCACACAGCAGCAGAGTAGTGCGAATCGAGTCAGCTAGTTTATGGTGTGCGTGTTGTTTCGGTCCGAGAAGAACAACCCAAATCGTTACCCGACGAAAAAGAAGAGGGAATCGAAACTTTTCAAGCAGTTTCATCATTAGGCGTGGGTTTTTTCTTCAGATCTGTACTTGAACGCGGCGACGGTGGTGTGTCATTCCCTGTGCTCGTCGGAAATTTATCAAGCCAAATCAAAATCTGGTGGAATTTCTTCCCGTTTCGGAGACCGGTAGTGAGGTTACATTTGAGTTTGGTGTCGTGAAAGTGCAGAAAGGTTCGCCTTTTTTACGGTGAAAAAATCGATTTTTGTGTTGCGGCCATCGAAAGCGCGGTGGCAGACGGAATACGAACCGAAGGGAAAATAAGAAGAAGGCAGGCCGTGTATTTTTGTGGCCCCCCGGTTTCAAACGACCACCAAAAGAGTGTGTGGTATTGAGGTTGTGTTTGTGTAGAGAAAGAAAGCAGTGTTCCTCTGCGAAGAAGCAAGGAGTTTCGAAATGTCTCAAAAAACGAAGAGATCCGGCGTTTCGACGCCCATTCCGGTGACGGCCAGCACTCCGGTGCAGGGAAGTTCCGGCATAGGAGCTCGCCCCTCCAGTCCGCTGAGTCCGACACGGCTCACCCGGCTGCAGGAGAAAGTTGATCTGATGAATCTGAACGATCGACTGGCCTGCTACATCGACCGGGTGCGCTACCTAGAGCAGGAAAATTCGCGCCTTACGGTCGAAGTCCGCAGCTCACAGGAAACCATCACTCGGGAGGTTTCCAACATCAAACAGATGTACGAACATGAGCTGACCGACGCCCGGAAGCTGCTGGACGAAACGGCCCGCGAGAAGGCCAAGCTCGAGATCGATGCCAAGCGAATATGGGAGGAGAACGATGATCTCAAAAAGAGGTAGGTTCCGATCTGCTGTTTGTTTTTGTAGGGATTCCTTTCGGCAAATTTTGAGCAGGGCCGGCGAGTCTCCGGTGGGAGTTATTTTTTTTTTTCGGTTGGGTGACGTCATGCGATTGCTAATCCACTGCCCGCCACCACCATCAACCTCGCTCGTGTTTACTCTAGCTTATGGCATTTTGTATTTTTATGACATTGCGTTCACACATTCATAGGATTTTTGTCCGTCAATCCGTGTTGTGCGGTTCTGGGTTTGTTTGTGTATGAATTTATAATAGAAGTGGCAAACAAATTACGGGGAACCTAACGAAGTGAAACCTTTCGGACGTAACGCGGAGTCGTTTCGGTTGGATCTTGGGATCGAATCAGATCTAACGTATGAATAAGCAAACAAACGAATCGAACGGTGATGTCACCCACGATCTCGTGTACGGGTTGGATCGATGACGTTTGCCTTGAACGGGGTTGTGACTGGTGCTGTGGATTGAATGATTGAAGCATGTTTTAAATCCATCCGTTGCGTCTTTCTGCAGAGGAAAATATCTCAATACTAGATTCTAGAAGAAAGCCAGAGTATGATAGGTGGACTCTGTGATCCGTACTCAACAAATTTACAAAGTATGTACTCAGCTCTTATGTTCAATCCATTAGCGAGCGATCTTGAAATTGACAGGTTAATTGCTTAATCATAAGTCAAGTGCATTGCTTTACAAGCGCTATAACCTACAACAATTTCAACCTGTACGCACGCTCGGAATGTTTCTCGCATTTCTCAGAGCTATACATGCAACAGATAACAAGAATTCATGATCAGATTCCGGTCATTCATTTACCTACAATCTTGTACAATGGAGATGATATCACCCAACAACCTTCTCTCGTTGTTTGTAAACGTACTACACACCTTCAAATATATAATTTAACGCTGTTTCGGTGAAACTGTTTACATAAAACATACCAAAATATAGCTTCGCTCAAAACAAAACAAATCATCAACCGTGAATGTGTCGTTCAGGGGAAACCTTTCAAGCTCGAGCTTCTTCTCCAAATTTACTTTAAACCGAGAGGCTTTAAATCCAACCTCCATGTGTCCACCGCATCATGATTGTCATAAAAAAATGTGTGACTCGACCTGAATGCGCGAACGCAACTCGGCACGGACATATGATGTCATCCGGATATTTTAAATCATTGATCTTACTTGGATGGATTTACACGAAGCACACGGCTGGCAGTGACGTCATCATCGATCGTTAATATCCGTTACACCTTGCTCAATGACGACCGTGGGATCGGTAATCGGTTTGAACGGTTCTCGGTACACTGAATCTTGTGATTTTATGGATCGATTGCTCCCTATTTGGCAGATAACAATTTGCCTGCGTTAAATATCAAAGGTGCACTCATGGCAATGCCTCAGATGACCTTTTCCAAGCCGTTCGTTTATCCTACATCCATTCAAAACTAGCTCACTAATACAAAATATCGATTTTTCTTCACTCGCCTGCATTTTAGACGCTCTATGTTTGTACACCGAGTGAAAACACGCAAAGAGAAGATTTTTATCACCTTAGCTATTGTTGTGTGATGTTGCATTACAATGTTAGGAGAGGGCGGCTCATACAACGCTCCCAAGGTGTAACGATCCCAATCCATTTCTCCCTTTCCTCTGCGCTTGGAGATGACCTCATTCCAAGCGAGGATACGACCGATCCAAGCATTTATTCAAATTCATATAAGAACACGCTGATTAATGCCTTATTCCAGCGAACGCATCGCCTTCAAACATTTTCTCACAGAGCTGACGGTTCTGTATACTTAACGGACTCTGTCGATGTGTGCTGCCTGGCATGGCAGCCAGGCCGCTTCGTTCGCTTCATTCGGAATATAAACAAAGTGCAAACACACAAATTCAACCAACTATTCTAGACGAACATGTGAACAGGACGAATGAGTTAAGTGTAAACAATGACTTTAAGCGTCGATTCGTCACGGATCACAATATTCTCACGTAATCCTACTACACCCTATGATATGTTAGTTTGCGTGAGTGTGTTGTGGTTCGTGAGAAATCGACGTTTAAAATCGTAAACATTGACTCACTGGCCCTTTTCAAATGTCCGTTGAGCATTCAAGCGTTGCGTCCTGCTCGGACCCGGATTGACTGCGTAACGCATCTTTAATCAAATTGATTCGGATGCCTCCCCCTTGACGTGTGTGTTTTGAATGTTTTGACCGTTTAGAAATAATCTATCTATGCTATTCAAGTACGGAAACGATTTCGAGTAGTTCTGAATTGAAAATATACCGCCCTGCTGCTGCGGCTGCTGGTGGTAATAATACGGTTATTATCGCCATGTGTCGCAAACTGCTTTCCATAGTGGGTTTAATCGACCACCACATGGCCACACGCCGGGTCCTCTCCCTCTCGTTGATGGGCTGGCTGTGATGGTGCAATATGAACGTTCTATGTGTTTGAGAACAGGAATGCCAATTCACACTGCACGCTGTTCTAATCTTAGTCATGGCTTGATTTTTCGCACGTTTGTTTGCTAGCACTTAAGTTGCGAGGGAAAGTGATGGATGTTTCGAAATACATAATCTCGATTACTTTTTCAAAGGGACGTATCTGCTTTTGTGAACAAAGGGTTCAAACGTCAATTTGTCGAAAGTCTTAGCACTCTAACGCGCAAACTAACAACATCATCAGAAAGAGTAAAAATGTTTCCCCAACAAGCTGGTGTTGTTAGTTTGCGTGGGAGTGCTAAAATTTTCGACAAATTAATCTTTGAGCCTTTGTTTACAAAAGGAGAGAAAGAAAACAAGCATATCTTAAATAGTATCTCAATTTAATAAAATGCAGCAGATGCTTCCATTTTATAGAAAACGATTTCGATAAACTAATCTGGTTTCCGTAGGCCGTTCGCAATTGTTTGTTTATTGTTGTTTTACATCAACAGGCTGGATGAAGCCCCAATGACATTCAAGCATGGTCATAACATAAAAAAATTAAAAAAAACATATATCTTATAGTCAACTCCTGCCGGCGAAAAACAGAAGAAAACTTTCGACGAAGCGTATCACGGGAGAGATGAAAGTCGAAGTTCTCTGCAGTCCGCAAATCGCACCGTATGCTCCATAATTTGTGCGACGTAGAGGCAGTCTTAGCCTAAGGTTATTACGAAGCGGTCGGGGTTGAACATTCAGGTCAATTTGCCTCAGGATAGCCTCGCAATCTGTCCTTCCTTGCAGGATATCGGCCACGGTTAGCGCTCTGCTTGTGTCTCTTCTAGTCCGGAGAAGTTCTAGGTCGATAAGTTGACAACGGCTTTCGTAACTGGGTAATCGAAACGGATCATTCCAAGGCAATCTACGCAACGCAAAACGAAGAAAGCGACGTTGAACAGATTCAATTCTCTCGGCACCGTTGTTGTAGTTTGGGTTCCAAACCGCTGAACAATACTCAAGCGTCGATCGAACAAGCGAACAATAGAGAGATTTTAGACAGTAGATATCAGTGAAGTTTTTAGCTATCCTAAAAATGAACCCTAAAGTTCTTGACGCCTTATCGACAACATATGCAATGTGTTGCTTGAATGAAAGCTGCGAATCCAAGATCACAGCCAAGTCTTTCACCTGATTCACGCGTTCGATTGTCGAGCCAAGCAGGTCATAGCTAAATATTATCGGTTGTTGTTTTCGTGAGAACGTAATAGCGGAGCATTTGGCTGGGTTCACTACCATTCTGTTTAACCTGCACCAACTAGCGAATACATTCAGTTGACGTTGAAGAAAGTGACAGTCAGCAATGGAGCAGATTCGTAGGAAGATTTTGAGGTCATCTGCATATGATAACCGAGGAGCTTCGATGACCAGATGCACGTCGTTGAAGTACAGTATAAAAATTAACGGTCCCATGTGGCTTCCCTGAGGTATACCTGATGTGGCGAAGAAGCTAGCTGATCTGCAATCTCCTATGGCAACCTTTAGTTGCCGACCGGTAAGATATGATCGAAACCAACTCAGAAGATTACCGCATACACCGAGCCTGCCGAGTTTAGCAATCGCAATAGCAAGGTTCAACTTGTCGAATACTGCGGATAGGTCTGAATAAATAACGTCCGTTTGAACCCGATCCGACATGCTTTCGGTTATATACGATGTGAGACACAGCAGATTGGTGGTTATAGAGCGGCCGACAGTAAACCCATGTTGATCAGCACTCAAATACTGCTTGCAATGGGACAGCAACGGTTCCATAATCACAAGCTCGAATAGCTTCGAAACGGCACTTAACGATGTAATTCCTCCATAGTTATCCACAGCTCGTTTCCTTCCTTTTTTGTGGACGGGAAACGTGCGCAAATTTCCAGCAAGATGGAAATATGCCACCTGAGAGAGACATTCGGAACAGGCGAAGAAGCGGAATTAACAAGCTAGCAATATGTCTCTTCAAAAATACAGATGGAACTCCATCAGGTCCAGGATTGAAGAATGACTTGAGCAGAGTCGCGGCCTTAGAAATCATTTCTGCATTAACATCAATTGCACCTAGCGTTTGATCGTTAACTGGAACGTTCCTGGCAGCCAGGTTAAAGGGTTATACGGTCAAAATTTGGTCAATATCAACTTGACGTATTTCTTTCAATTTTGCATTTAAAAAACCTGAACACCCCTCATTTTGAAGGTGTGTGTGTGTAGAATGTTGCTCCTATTTTGATTTTGGAATTCACTCTTCAGTTGTCAAAATGCCGTCCAAGCAAGAAGAGCAGCGTATCAAAATTTTGCTCGCGCATCGCGAAAATCCGAGCTACTCGCACGCAAAGTTGGCAAAATCCCTAAAAGTTGCCAAATCAACCGTTACAAATGTAATTAAAGTGTTTGGGGAACGTTTGTCGACAGCCAGGAAGTCTGGATCGGGGGGAAATCGAAAACCGGAAGCCGCTGAGACGACAAAGAGAGTTGCCGGTAGTTTCAAGCGAAACCCTAACCTCTCTCTC